TATTCAGTTCACCTTGAGAGGTATTCTTTTTATTTTAATTTTAGAAATGTAACATTAATTATTAAGTTCTGATTAAATAGTCACATTATTACTTTTTGTGTAGATAATACAATTTAATTAAAACTTTAAGTATCTAAATATTATTATATGACTACATTATCTACAATAATAACATAATTATGTAATATATTATTATTTATTTTATATCATTGTTATCTACGTTATTTTTAATAATATTTATTTATTTTAGATTTTAAATTTAGCAATGAATGTATTGATTTTACAATGTGTTTTTAAAAAAAAAAAATTGTTTGGGTGTGTTATCACTTATTACCTTTTATGGCAATAAAAGCATTTAAAGTTAAAATTATGACAAATTTCATCAAAATATCGAAAATTTGCAAAATTATTTTGTAGTTGGATATTTATAAAATGTTCAATTCATATGGCAGAGGATTGAAAATTTAAAACAAGATTCCACCTAAGTTATTCATACTGTAACCAAAAACTTAAAAAAATATATATAAGCACAATTTTTTATTATAGATATTTTAAGTTCAAATTTACACAAAATTATATACTCATTCAAACGAAGAATAAGAAGGAGTTTCCTTATTTTGTTGTAATTTAAAAATATTTTTTGTTTATACTTGAAACGTTTATAGTATGTTAATATCCCAACAAAACACTCTGTCAGTTCCGTGTAAATGTAACGCAAATTAAAAATCATAAAATTCATTGCTTTAAAATGTGAATATAAGGTAGAATAATATGAGTAAATATGTAAAATAAATTCAATATGTTTATTGATTCAAACTTAAAGAAGACTAGCCTGTATAAATGTATAATATATTATGTATTTGTCGTACAGTGGAGTATATATTTTTGGGTAGGGCTATAGTAGACAGAAACTAGCAAGTTATCTATTACTTAGAGGCTACTGTCTACTATATATTTAACAGTTTCTATAAAAAAATTCATATTTTTATTTTTCAACAGGCTATGAAATATTATAACTTATAATAGTACCTAATAAAATATATTGTTGTTCTATTTAAAAAAAATCTGTAATTTCGGTGGGGGTGGGCTGCAGCCCGCTGTGCCCACTCCCTATACATATACGCCACTTATGTCGTGGGCCTTTTGGAAAATTAGTCCTTTTTGCGAAAAGACTAGGCTCTTTGCAATGAGGTAGAAAGGTTGCGAGCTACACTTATTATTTTTTCAATTGGCCTGCTCTTTTTCAGGCTTATTGCATATACGGACCAACAGTATTTAGGCCTTTTATCAACAGCAATCATTATAACATGTTAATAACCATTTTCCCTATTTTCCGACAAGCGTATCTATTTGCAGTGGCGGCTCGTCGTATGGTGCACAGGAGCACGTGAACCACCCAAAAAAATTATATTAAAAAATTATTATATGCCATAATAACATAATATAATTGATGATTATGCAAATGGTCTGTAATTAAAAAAAATATAAATATTTATATTAATAAAAAAAAGTTTTTGCATCTTTTATGTTAAGAAATATATTTATAAACGATTAAATAATATCGCGGAGCACAAGTTGTTTGTGCTCCGGACGGCCGTATAAAAATTAGCTACATGCCTCGACACGCCGACCGGTAATATATGGCAATTTGGAGCACATTTAATGTGTGCACCGATCCTATTTTATTGTCGAGCTATCGCGATATCGTGTCATTCGTCGAAACGATAACACATCATTGTACAGTATCCATCAACTGCCGCCAGTGTGCAGTTATAATTTCATTTATATTTTAATGGGGTAAAATGCTTAAAAAAATTTAATTTAGATAAGATAAGTAGGTACATTATTTTGGTATTATTCGTGGTATGTACTTATACCCAAATAAATTTTTTTACCATCTAACATAGATATCTTATAAATTTTTTGTACACCACTTTACGTGAACCTCACGAGCCGCCACTGTCTATTTGTTTTGCACGATATTTTGCATAATATATAACATGTGAACTTAATAAGTTTAATAGGGTAATTTATTAAGTGTACGAAAAAAAACAAAAACTGCAATAGAATTATTATAACATGTAAACTTTGTAACGTGACTAAATTATCCCCGTGGTACTAACCGAGGTCGCTACAGGTTTATGGGTCGTATATATACAAATATGCCACAATATCGGGATAAAGTCCGGGGATATAATGCGAACCCAAGCCCGACCACACACACATACAACAAAATCGAAATAAGTTTTATATCGTATATCAATATTATATCGATATACACCTGAAAGGCCGCCACCACTGAGTTGCTGCCGAAAAGTAGTCATTCGCCGTAACACTTCCCGACAGTGGTCATCGGCGCAACGCAATCTCCGACCAAGTGTGCAATGTCCCCAGCCATGGAGTAGGACAATTGGATCGGCCAGGACTGTCGCCCGGAGGTCCGAGGGAGGACAACCATGCAACAACAACAATAGGAACAACAACAGCGGCTGCGACCAGGCCAACGTGGTGGTGACCCTGGTGTCGGGTAATTTATATTATGTACTACCCATGCACAAATTTCAGGTGCTGCATATATTAATTAAGAAGATGTGTAATAAATTGAAAATCTATGGTTCAAATAATGTGTGTATGTTTCAAAATCCACGTTTCTCCGACCTAACCAGTCTCGGATCCGTGGTGGTCGGTGCCCTTTTAGTGTCCGACCGTAAGGTAACCTTACAAAATAGCTACCGTGACAGGACCGAGTGGTTCTATAATATATAAATATTAAATTTTAAGTTAAAAAAAAAAAAACTGTTTGTATAATTCTGTATTCTTGTGACATTATGTAATTTTGTAATGTCATAATTCATATTTTAATAATTAACTTGTTCAAATATTATATGTATAAGTTGAGGCCGATTTAAGATGTCTCTTGAGGTACTGTACTGTTGTGTGTGTGTGTGTGTGCGATACATGTATGCTGGTGACGTTTGAAGCAGTGACTGGTGATCCCAATATACAAGGAGCCAGTGAGTCAACGTCATGTCTCGGATTCTATGGTAAATTTTTTAATTTTTTTGTTATATATATTACGATCCATATACCGAGCGTTCAGTAGTTTCACAAGACATACTCCCCACCCAGCAGTCAAATTACCATATTAATGTAACATATATACATATAGTATTTCAGTTAGTAAATACGTGCTCATCAGCATCAAGTTAAAAAAAAAAAAATCCGATTAATATTAGGTATTAGTTTAAGAGTAACATTATATATTTCCTCTATGGTCAATCGCATTATTGATGTGTTGTTGTTGTTGTTGTTGTTGTTGTTTATAATTTATATTAATAAACGCTGTTGTATTGTCCTCTCTTAGTCCAACACCCGGTGTGAATAGGTCTTGGCCGACGTTATTTAAAATAGTAGATTGTATTCATTTTAATATCAGTGGTCAGTCCAACTCTCTAAACCTGGTTTAGAATAATAATTAAACACAGGGAATTTAAATAATCGCCCTGCAAGTGTTATATAATATTAATATATCCAGTTAGTATTTGTAAGAATCCATAGTATTATATCAGTATCGGTGGGTTTAGTATAATTTTGCCGTCGGAGCGGTTACAGTTCAAACTCTAAAGTGCGTGAGAGAATGTATCAATATAATCCGCACAATATTAAAATCATTGTACTTCACTAAGATAGTTTTATTTATTATGTGTTAAATTACTTTATTGACGCTATACCTCTCGAGTGCGTGTCAGTATCATAATCTGTTCACCTCATTATCTATCAATATATCGTACATGTTATATATTATATCGTTGTCCACCTGGTCAATTATAAATTATAATACTCGGTACCTACTTCATGATAATCAACTGAAAGGACCTTAAACATACACGTTTCTAAAATAAACATAAAAACTAAAAAACCTTTACTTAGACGAAGCAGTCTAATTAGATGCAAAGCGCCGGCAAACGCGATACTCGCCCCCACCCGGAACTCTATGACCCCTCCCAACCATATAAAATCAATCTGCCCGCCTCCGATTTCGATATAACGATGTCCGAGGACGGGGACCAGCTTGGACAGTCGACGCTGTCTCAGGTCAATATGACCCAAGTTCTGGATGATCAGGATTACTTCCAACGAATGTTTGACCAAGTCAAGGCTCAAAATGAAGCGATCCGAAATCAAAGTGAAGAGTCAAACAGGAAATTTGATTTAATCCACGATTCCATGTAGTGCACTTAACGAAAAACTTGAACAGAACCGGATCGATTTAAGCACGGACTTTAGAACCAGTCTTGCTGAGATCAATGAAAAGTTCGAGGGCAATCGTATAGAAATACATGATAGGTTCGACCACCAACAAAGCATATTAAATAAGTTAGACTCAAAACTTGACAAGAATATTGAGGAATTACGTGCAGATCTAAGTTTCGCCAGTGGACAATGTCAATCCGACCAACAGAAACTTCGTACTGAGTGTAAGCAATATACTGATCATCATATTATAGCGAATTATAAACGTGAAACGAAGGAAGAACTGTCAAGCCTAATGGAACGAGTATGTCTAATCGAGGGGCAGGCAGCACGTCTTGCAGCGGTGGAAAATGTAATCCAAACACACGGGACTACTTCGAGTGTTCTACGCATATCAACATTCGGTTCAGTGCCCATAAACGATAATGTAAATACATTTTAACGACCTGCACGTAGCAATGTATTTTCGTCGACGGTAGTTCACAATACCTCCGTACCTATAACAACCACTAGTACAATGAACAATAATAGTAACAGCTCTTATCGTTTTGGTATACCAGGTACGATGACGTCACAAGAGTTCTCCAGGATACCTCAGCCCTATAATTTTAACCAAAGTTTCGCGAGTCGCACAGAAAATATAAAGGATATCGTCCCGGAATTTAACGGCAATATTGATCCGATACACCCCGAAGAATTTCTTGAAAAACTGAACAATTATTTTCAAAACCAAGTGTTCACCGACCATGCATTACACATGCAACGTCGCATGCAGTAGACTCAGTGGTAGGGCTAAAAAGTGGTCTTACACCCTAGGTTCCATAGTCCTGTTTAACCATTTTGTTGAACGTTTTCGACGACATTTTTGGTGTCCGATTAAACAAGAAAAAGTACGTCAAGAATTCTACCGCCCACATTATCATCAGGATACATCGAGTCTACAAGAACATACCATTGATTGGATCAACAAAGTTCGGTATTTATACCCTCCTATTCCGGAGACGGAGAAGATTGAAAGACTACTATCGCACTATCCCCGATCGATTTCCAACACAATTCGTAACCTTCGACTACAAACTGTGGATGAGTTAGTTAATGAAATCAGTTATTATGAATATACTCCCAAGCCGATGAATAACAATCAAAATAATCAACTCAGTATCAATAGTGCGACAAATCGTGACGGTAATGAGGTCAGTAACGCTAACAATTCATCTCAAGATAACGGTAATATGAATGATAATTCTCGATATCATGGGTGACACTTAAATTCTAACTATCAATCCAACAGCCGTAATAATAATAATAATAATAATAATAGAAACTACAATTATCGTTCTAATTATCAAAATTCAAATCGCCACGAGAACAGTAACGGTACTGCCGCACCAACGACAAATATGAGCCGTGAAATAACAGATAACCAGGTCAACGGACCCGACTAGGGAAACGCGAGCTGACTATCTTCATAAGGACCGAGGTCACGTCCCCTCTAATTATCAACAGTCCTCATACCATAAATATACTATCACACCCATTAACAGAAAATCTACCTCAACCCGAAAAACCGTCGTTTATTCCGGAAATGTACATTACAATTTTTAATCACGAATAAGTTTTTGAATCAGTTTCGGCCATGTCTGAAGTTTTCTTTAAATTTCTACAAAAAAATTTTCCAAAACAGAATCTACCTATGTTGCCAATTACCGCCATCACTGTTTCAACCGCCCTCCTAGGTAAGAAAAAGAAAATCCATACACAGACGTTTTTTGGAAATTGACATGCATAATGTTAAATCCAATGCTATATTTTTAATTGTTCCGAGTCTATCGACGCAACTTATTCTGGGAAACAATTGGTTAACCGATAACAAAATTATAATTAATTACAATGATAAAATTATCTCCTCTGCGTTTTGGAATGATAGTCCAGACGTAATTATTAAATCCGATAAAATTATTCCTCGTATTGACACCATATTAGATAATATTATGTGTATGTCTCTGGACGACGAATATAACCACGTTGATAACGACACCAGTTTATCATACCCATTAGAGTACAAAGGTGACAACGGCATATTAGCGATAAACCATCAAAATGCCATTAGTGGTAATCAAATAACCGGTAGCATAGTAGACACCGATGAACAACGACAATTAGACCAATTACTTGCTGATTATCAAGAAATATTTCAAGACCATCCTGGGCGGCATAATTACTTCTCATATCGGTTTAAGGTCATTGACCACAAGCCTTTCCGATTAAAACCATATCCCGTTCCATTTGCACGGCGTCCCGCGATACAACGTGAACTAAATCGAATGTTGGACTGGGGGGTGATTGAGCGATCTGAGGCAGCGTATAACAATCCAATTTTGAGTGTTTAAAAACCCTATGGGTCGATACGGCTCTGTCTCGATGCGCGTAAATTGAACACGGGGATTGAACCTACACGTGACTCATCCCCACCTATAGATGATATTCTCGCAAAGTTCCACGACAAAAAGTACTTCACTTCTCTCGATTTTATTTCGGGATATTGGCAGATCCCTTTGGACCCCGATGTCCGTAAATATACCAGCTTCTTGTATGACGGTCGCTCGTACTAGTTCTGCGTAGTACCGTTTGGGTTGAATGTTTCAAACGCAGCGTTTGGTAAAGGACTCGAGATGGCACTATCTCCGATGGCCCCTGAATATATTAGTTCGGTACTACCCAAAGATATACACATATATGTGGATGACATATTGATTGCGTCACAAACTTTCATTGAACATATCCGAAACATTCAATGGGTGTTCGACAAAATATTGAATGCAAATTTAACGCTCAAATATAGCAAATGTCATTTCGCTAAACCGAGAATAAAGTTCTTAGGTCACTATATCTCGGATGAGAGGTTCTCTATGGATCCCGAAAAGACTCAAGCAATCAGCGAATTTCCAGAGTCCCGAAACCGGAATGACTTACAGTCATTTATAGGATTCTGTAAGTTTTATAGGAAGTTCTCACAAAATCACTCAGCGTTATTAGTAGTTAGTATCACTTGCTCATTTATTGAAAAAATTAGTACCCTGGGAATTTGGACAATCCTAAAGAAAGGTTTTTCAAGAGATAAAAAAAGGTATTCAGTAAACAGGTCTCCCTAACGCATCCCGATTTTAATAAAACGTTTTGCGTCCAGACCGACGCTTCTTAGGGCTCGGTGCCGAGCTTTTTCAAGTCGATCATAACAATGTACAACACACAATTTCTTTCGCGAGCCGAACCCTTATTGCTGCCGAAAAGAATTATACGATCTCGGAGTTAGAACTATTAGGCATTGTGTTTGCTTGCCATAAATTCAGGATATATATATTAGGGTATCTGATAGAGTTGTACACCGATCATCAAGCGTTGATATTTCTCTTTACGTGCAAGCTACGAAATGCACGGTTATCCAGGTGGACACTTTTGTTACAAGAATATAACTTAAAAATTCGTCATTGCACAGGTAAAGAAAACCCTGTAGATACCCTGTCTCGACACCCAGTTGGACGTGATGACGTCAACGACAACATACAACCAGTAATTTTATCTATGATGATACCACCCTCGTTACCCAGCTCTCTAACTCAAATTCTATACAAAATATCAAACGAGCAGAAACGAGACAATAAATTGTTAAAAATTCGTGATAATCTCAACGGTAATAATTGTTTGAGTAAACAACTTTCGAAATACTACCTATTACATAATGATATCTTATTTATACGAAAGTCCTATCATAGTGCTTCGCCATGGTCTATTTACACACCAAAACATTTAGAGAGAACTTTAATTATTGCGTTTCACGACTATTATGGGCACCCTGGGTCGGTAAAAACAGCACATGCACTTCGTAAACACATTTATTTTGGACGTTTTTGCAGAACGGTCCGCGAAGTAGTGCGTGCCTGCGACATATGTCAACGTAGTAAAGTAATTAACTACAATCCCGAGGGCGAGATGGTGTCGGTGTTAGCCAAAGATAAACTAGATCGTGTATTAGTTGATATCTATGGTCCACTACCGACGGGACAATGTCGATATACCTACATCCTAGTAGTACTCGATAACTTTACTCGATTTGTTAAACTTTTCCCGTTATGCAAAGCCACAGCGAAAGCATGTGTGAAGAGAATACTAACCGACTATATATCCACGTACTGAAAACCAAAAACTATTATTTCTGACCATGGTAAACAATTTATAAATCAAAATTTACAATTTAAAAATCTGGCAACAATCGTTAACTGAATTATTTTCAAATTTTGATTAATTAAATATTTTCGGGTAAAATTCGCTGTGTACATGGAAGCAAAATCATATTACATTTTAGTTTTTAGCCATCAAGCTTGGCGTTGCCCGTGAGACTCCCTTATGGTTAAGTGAAAAGTATATTTATCAGGTAGTCAATCTACCTGCGGTAAATTGAGGACACAGCTATTCTCTGTTCAGGTTAAAAGTGCCCAAACTCGCACATGCATACTGAGCCACTTAGCAAAATGTATGCGCGAACAGTCCAATCGACTGGCCACTTTTAACTTGAACAAGTATAGGTAGGTGATAAAATAAAACTATTTCTATATTAGTTTATCTTTGTAGTTGAAAAATATGTTTATACAGTGTACCTAAAATAGTATTGAAGTCATAGTTGATCGTCCCGGATTTTTAGGAGTATTTAATATTTATATATTAATATACATTGGGGGTTAATTTATTTTTTAGATTCTGTGTGGAACGATGAATTTACTGATTTTACGATGATGTGTGTTTTTTTCTTATTTTTGTGTCTGAGTACACGATGAGTAGTTGAAATAATTCTTCGATTTTCAGTTTCAGTCGCTTGTTCGATGAAAAAGTGAATCTAGTTGGTACTTTTGGGAAGTCAAAACTTAAAATTCCCAGTTAGTTGTCAAAAGCGCCGGGAAAAATAAAATAAAAATTAAGGAAAACGGAAATTTTTGGTGTAACTTTGAAATAAATGACCGTAGACACATGAAAATTTCACTGGTTGTTTATATTACAATTTTAAAATATTTTAAATGATATATATGTATAATGATCATATTTTAAAAATATTTTGATTTGTTTTGAACTGTTTAGGGACATTTTCAGTTTCCAATTGTCTTAGTTTTTTTTTTCTATGAATGTCAATAAAACTTTATTTGTTAAGTAAAATTACTTGAACATTTAATACAAGGTTCCTACTTTATTGTTACAATGACATTTTAAAATTATTGAAAATACTTAATCACAGTTTTTTTTTTTTATAAGTATTTAAAGTTCAAAAATTGACAACATTTATCAAATATAAAATGAAATAATTATTTTGTAGTTAAAAATTTATAAAGTGTTCAACTTTTATATCTAAGGATTGAAAATTTAAAACAAGATTCCACCTAAGTAGTTAACTCTGTTACGAGAAAATCTAAAAAATACATATGCACAGTTTATTTTAATAGTCATTTTAAGTTCAAATTTGGACGAAATTACATAATAAAAAACCTAGAATAAATATTTTAGTTATTTTGTTGTGATTGTATAATATTATTCGTGGGTACTTGAAACTTCTAAAGTGTACTATTATATATATCACGGTTTTTTGTGGATGTATAAAGCATTATAAGTACCTAATGGATATTGTGATATGATTGATTTGGAATTTATTATAGGTCAATTTTTTTTTAATACCTACCATATTAGATAAGTATATAATATGTCTTATACCTAGATTGACATACCGTCTCCGCTCAGAATCGTTTTTCTTATACAATGATATTATATCATTAAATTTAAATTTAATATCATCCATTATACAGTGACCCACTTGTAACCTACTGTACAGCAGAGCGACATCCACTTGCTAACTTTTTTTTTCGTTTTATTTTTAATGACAAATTGTCGTAATTGAACCTGCAACCATTAATAAAAAAAAAAAAGTTTCAATTTCCACCATGAATCTTAAGATCTCTGTTTGACCTCCTCTTTAAAATATGAATATCGGAAAATCCTTTCTTATTGCACATCTAGATCATTAAATGAACCACTATTTCAAGTATACGTACCTACGTTTTGTTTTTTAAAACCAATATTGTATATTTAAATTAAATATTATTTGATAGTATAGACACCAATGTTGTATTCTTAGTTCGTACAACCCCTTATTTTCCCCTTTATTGGTTGAATTTTCAAAAACTCTGTCTTAGTGGACGCCTTCGTCATAATTGCTCTCTGTCTGCCAAATTTCAGCCCGATCCGTAAAATGGTTTGAGCTGTGCATTGATAGATCAGTCGGTCAGGTTACTGTTTTGTATATAAATATAATTAAAGTAATCTAAGCTTCGCTGGATACTGGTACTAGTAATGTAAGTACTGTGTTATTATAAATAACCCTTAAGATAAAATAAGTACAATTATCATATTATAATAGGTTTATAATTCAGTTTACATGTTAAATTTACATAAAACTTTAAAATAAACTAAACTCCACTGATACTTGCCATCAATCAAAGTAGATAAGTGTACATGTTATAATAGTTCTATTGCAATTTTTTTTCTCGGAAAAGAAGTAAAAAGGTTATTATCATATTAAAATGAGTGTAGTTCTTTCAAGTCTAAATGCTATTAGTCCGTATGCAATAAGCCTGAAAAACAGTAGGCCTTTTGGAAAAATAATAAGTAGTTCGAAAACGATCTACCCCATTGCAAAGAGACTAGTCTTTTCGCTAAAAGACAAATTTTCTTAATGACTTACGACATATTATATTTATCGTCTTATCTAAATCTTGTCGGTCACGCCGTGTGAGTCTAACAGGGTAGGTTAGGTTATAATAATAGACAATTTCCATTTTATGATCAAATATATATATTATTTACAAACCCCTCTTTTGGTAAAACTAGACTAGCTGATCCAGTTAACTTCGTTGCCTGTTAAATTAAATGTACCCACTCTATGTGATTCAAACTTTGTTCAATTCTTTATTTAACATTTGGTGTATGGTGTTCAAACCAAATTTAACCCTTTTTAATATGACCCATCTTCTTCCCAGAGGTCTAATCTACCCACAAACATTAATTTATATATACGTATATTATACATATTTATTGACAAAAAGTAATAATACAAATCAACAAACATGCATGATTAACCAATAGAAACCAATATAATATAATACACTATTATTATTGCAACAATAAACTATATTTTTTATTATTTAGTTTATTTATTTCTGGACAAATGGTGCTACCGTTGAATTTTTGACATCCAGATTCCAACTTTTCAGGTAGATTCTCCTAAAATTTTCTTTTATAAGAACCTTCTCTGTGATATACTCTTTTGATAAAAAAATCAACAAGATATGAT